TGCAATTCCTGAATAAATTGCTAGTGGGAATGCTTTATGCTGAAAAGCTGACGCTAAACTGCTATGCTGAAATGTAATGTGTAAGAAGAAAGTGAAGAATATAGATTGAAATGATACATGAACACAGGGGGCTTGAATGTGTGATGAGAGAAGAAAATAAAGTAAAAAGGCTTGGAAAAGCAGCAGATTATTGAACTGCAAACTTGTGAACTAACTTGATGGCGAATGATCTGTTGCCATGGCAACGGCATTTGACGACACCCCAAAATACGCTTAGATGCGTTGATGGCTGCATCGTTACCAAACCTGTGAAGTTTTGGGCGTTTGGAGCATTTGAACTGAAGTTGTGAGAAAACCGTGTTTCAAGGAGAGCATTGTGTTGCCATGGCAACGGCATTTGAAGAAATCTCAAAACTGTCCCGTAGATGTCTTCACGGCTGGACTGTTAGCACACTGCTATCTGAAGTCTGCTGCTCTGAGCATGTCAGTTGGAGCGATGACATCATCGTGTTCCATTACACAGGTGTTTATAGTTGAGCTAACGAGCTCTGTAGAGATCACTAGGTTTCCATTGTTCTGAATGAGAGATAAACCTCTTACATGTGAACGTTTTGTTGAAGAACCGTAACAGATATCGGTGAAATTTCAAAGCGTGAAGCATGTCAAGGAACTTGAGCATCTGAAGTGCACTTTTTGTGTACTTTGGGGTCAATAATGTGGCCTTTTAGGCAGATTAACTAAAGGTGTGCGGCTGCTGTGGTGGAGATCGATGAGGCTGAACTTAAAATGGGGTTTAATGGAGACATGTTGAACGTTTTTGTCACTTCATGCCCTCAAGAGGCACTTTGTTTAATTATTTTTTGCTTAATTATTTGTCATTTTTCAAGCTACGAGATGTTTTTCTATGTTTATCATGAAAAATTATGTGTCAAGAATGTAGGGTTTGGGAATTATGGCAGTTTTAAAAAGAAATATGAATGCGAATTTCAAGCTGTCCTCCACTCTAGCTGTGACATCACACACTCTAGTTAATGTTAAAATGTGAAGAAAACCTCTAAAACAAGGTCTGAACAATGTTTAATATCTCTAAAAGTAAGAATCAGATTTAAAAGTTGTTTTACACGAATAATGTCAGAAAGATGAGTAACATTTTAAAGTTGGAATGAGGTGTCTGAGTTAGCAGTTGAAGAAGGAGCAGTTAGCAGTTGAAGTTGCATGAAGATTGTTGAAGTCTGAAGATTTCTCCATTGACTTCCATGTTAGAAATGTGATGAATTATGGGATGTATCTCTGGAATTATGAAAGTTATGAATGATAAAAGTAATAGCCATCGATTCCCGACCTAGCTGAACGTTTTGATGTTAGAACGGAGTTTCTGCGATGTTCAATGTGGGAGGAGAAGCGCGGCAAAATACCGGCGGAATAATAATAAACTTTTCGTCCGTAGAAGAACAGTTAGTGCAGCATTCCCACTAAATTATTGCAGCATTTTTTAGACAAGGGTATCTTTGTAAAGAAACATTCAACTTGATGTCTTTTAATTGTGCATTAGACTGCCACTTAAATAACACTTGCACAAGCATCTTGTAGTTTCCTTAAATAAAGTAATTTCACCACATTAGAAGTCTGTTAGGCAGTTGTCTAAATAATGTGGTTGCGACAGATCTATCTTCCGATATACTCATGTTCTTTAGTGCACACACAAATACACACTTGCACACACAGTTATTCTATCTGGTCGGGTTAACACGTATAATACACACCATTTCAGGCATAGATCACACTCTTTTATTAACTTGCACCACTTGTAGCAGCAGCCCTTTGTGTATGCATGTGTGTGTGTGCATCTGTGAGTGCATGCAACTACCAGGGTGCGTCAGAGGAAAAAGGAAGTTGTGGCATATAGTTAAAAGTCTTCGACACAGTGCAGCTCTGCAGAACACCCACCACGGAAGAAAGGCAGAACAAGAGCGCTAAAGTGTTACAATGAAATAATGAAAGGAGGAGAACACAGAGGAAATAAACATACAACTGCCAGGAGAAACTAAGAGGTGAGAGCAGATTATAATACTCATCACACACTGATATGCAGTTAGAACATTTTAGAAAGGCTTTCTAATTGAGTAGTGACTATTTTAGCTTGCAGCTAGATTTCAAGAATTGATGTTTCACTGTAGAGGACGGTGTGAGAGTTTTTGCTGTACTCCAGGTCAGACTGTTGGTGCATCTTCAATAATTTGCATATCAAGGTTGTAGTTTACAAAGAAAAACTGTGACAAAGTGAGATACGGAGCTACTTGTGTGGTGCAGGAGCCACAAATGGTCACGCTTCAAAAGGTTTTTGAATGCGTGAATTCAGACAATGAATACGTTTCAATTCAGCATGAACAAACTGTGTGCCTCTTATCAAACTAACTATTCTCTCATTGCCAATAGAGCGTTAACTTGTTCTGACTTATTTGCTGCTACTGGGTGCTGTACGGACCAATAGTGATCACTGGTTTCTGAATATTGTGCCTGTAAGAATCCATAAGTCTAACATTGTTTTGGCCTCATATCCAATCTATTGATCCATCTGTTCATCAGAAAACAAAGATGGAGTTGTGGCGGCAGTGTGCGATGTGGCTGATCGAATGTCGAGTCCTTCCAGAGAACCACCGGGTCACATGGGAGGGCGCACAGGTAAATCAGCTGTGTCACATACTGTACACACCTGTAATTTAACACATATTCTGTCTGGGTGCCTCAGTCTGATTTTGTGTGTGTGTGTGTGTGTGTGTGTGTGTGTGTGTGTGTGTGTGTGTGTGTGTGTGTGTGTGTGTGTGTGTTGGGCCAGGTGTGTGACCTGGCTCAGGCTCTGAGAGATGGCGTGCTGCTCTGCCAGTTGCTCAACAACCTGATGCCTCAAGCTGTCAACCTGAGAGAGATCAACCTGCGCCCACAGATGTCCCAGGTAACACACACACTGATTCATTTCCATATTCCATTTCCCTAAAGACCAGGTCGATGCACCGACGCCCAAAGGCTGTCGGATAGGAAAATACTTTGATCTATATCTGATCATATCAGGGGACAGAACAGGGAGGTCAAGAGTGAGGAGGGGATGAAGAAGAAAAATACTAAGTACTCAAAGATGGCATACATGAGTTTTAAGGTTGCAACCTTGACCTTCAACTAAATTGAACTGAGCTTCTTGAGAAAAGATCAACCTGATTTCTTGTTAATGGCGTTATAGAAACATGTGAATGTTTTAAATACCTAAGTTACGCTATCGGACTCGGACTGGCTTTATTTTTCGTACAGATTTGACATAATGTGTAATTATTTTGAGCTTTAAAGATGCTTTTGTTACATTTGGACAGAATAAGCTAGCGGTTTCCCCCATTCCAAAAACATTTTACAGTATTAAAAAAAAAAATGTAGAGAAAGTGGCATTGATTTTCTCTTATGTGACTTTCTTTCTGATCATTCCTGGTTTCACCTCACCAAATCCACCCCATAAACATGGACTTTCATTCATCAAAACTTCTTGTCAAACTTTTAGAGATATAATACTAACTAACAATCATGCAGCTAAGCAAACTGGATTGAAAACATATCCTAGCAGAAGTAAGAAAGATAACTTGTGTCTGAGTGGACAGAGAGAAATATAAATCGGTGTGTGACTGAGCATATTAACAAATGAATAGTGTCTGAACAGAGTCTGACAAAGAGTGTGTGTGTGTGTGTGTGTGTGTGTGTGTGTGTGTGTGTGTGTGTGTGTGTGTGTGTGTGTGTGTGTGTGTGTGTGTGTGTGTGTGTGTGTGTGTGGCCTAGCATTACTATACTTGTGGGGACCTAAATCTGTTTACACAGTCACGCGTGGGGACTCGCTTCCCTTATGGGGACAAATTGGAGGTCCCCATGAGGGGAATCATTCATTTTAGGGTGAAGACTTGGTTAGGGTAAGGGTAAGGGTTGGGTTAGGCATGTGTTGGTTAAGGTTAGGGTAAGTCTCCAGGAAATGCATGTCCCCTGAAGTGAAGTGATGTGTGTGTGTGTGTGTGTGTGTGTGTGTGTGTGTGTATGTGTGTGTGTGACAGTGACATGCTAATGTGCGACATGTTAATGTGCTCCTACACGTGTAAGCAAAACTCTGGTAAATCATATGAGGTCAAGAGTGGTTAAGAAACATCCGGTGTTGTAACAGAAAACGGGATTCCAATCTGACGTGTAACCCCAACACACACTCAACGCTGATGATATTACACATATAGAGGATCTTCCCTGTTCTTTTGCAACACCGCGCCACCTTGCAGGGATATATGTAGTTGTGCCTGTGTGCACTTCTAACAGAGTGACATGATGTGTGCAGCAGTATCAGTAAGAAGTCAACATTTCCCCTTTACTCAAATTAGAGTTCCGCATTTCCCACAGCTGAACAGACACTCACAGAAGACTGAGAGAGAGGGAGAGAGCTGGTTCAGGAAGTTATGTAAAGCTACACATGTCTGACCACCAAGTCAGTCTGACTGTGCGCTGCCTCTCTGTGGTTTCATTTATATTTTCGCTATGAAAGTAGGGCCTTCATGCTGCCCTTATTTGTTGCTCTTCGTGTTGCTGTGGCCTGTGTGGCTGAAAAGCATTTATATGCACGTTGATATAAAGTGCAGCTGTTCACTTGCTATGTATGTCACCTAATGTGGCTATGTATGTCACCTAATGTGGGAAAGTTAATCAACAGTGCCAGTGTGATATTTAACAAAAACTTAAATATTTCAATGATAAACAACATTGTTTTAGTTCCCTAGAAATGTTATGTAATGTATAACACTGTATTATTTATATGTGCCTGCTTTACCTTCTACCTGTGTTTGTAATACCACACATGTTTCGTCTTTCAAATGCTTAGTCTGAATTGTGGTTTCTCGTCTCATTGCTACAAAAATAACATGGATGGTTTCATACTATATTCTTCACAAGAACAAATAATGACTATACTTTTCATTCGAATTTGATTGATCAAAAATATTAGATTTATTTGACCATAAATGCCAGAAAGATAGGTACAACTTGTGGTAATGAGTTGGAAGGAAGTTGGCTTTAAATGTGTTAAGATTTGGGTGATTATGTATATCATATGCTGTATAAACCATCAAACAAGGACAACATTTGCACAGATTTTTAGCAGCAAGTTGTTTGTTCAGTTAGTTGGTTTATTAGCCAGAATTTTGGTCTAGACTGAAATATCTTGTCAACTCTTTAATGCAGACATTAGTGTTTCACTCACTTTGGTGATCACCTCAACGGCTGCTTCCTCTATATCGCCACAAGAGGATCCATTTTCATCAAATTAACACATTAACGGTTTTCAGTTGTTGAATCCTAATGACAAAAGGTCAAAAATGTAATTTATCAAAGTCTTAGGTTCATGACAAAATTTGCAGAATCAGAATCAGAATACCTTTATTACAGAGGGGGAATTTGCATTGTTACAGCAGGAAAGAGCCACAGACAGCTTAATGTTACATATGTTAAAAAAAGTACTAAATTATGATATCATTTACACATAAATAAATTAGCTAATTTCCATGCTAATGATAAGAAGGCTTATATGCTACACTATCAACGTGAAGTCTACTAGTTTAGCTCAACATAATTGACATTGTGGTCATGTTAGCATGTTAGCATTTAGCTAGTACGACCCCACATAACCTCTAGTGTTCCTGTTGACACGTGTCGTTTGATAAATGACTTGAACTCTTAATAGAAACTACATTTTAGTTGATAACATTTTTTGTTGCTCAATAAATAATTTCATTAAAAGTAAAGTAACGTTCTTGTTTGTTTTTTAGTTCCTGTGCCTGAAGAATATCCGGATGTTCCTGGGAGTTTGCCAGGAGAAGTTTGATCTCAAAAAGAGTGAACTGTTTGAGGCCTTTGACCTGTTTGATGTTCGGGACTTTGCAAAGGTATCTGCCAATGTATTACAGTACAGTTATTACGATTGCTTCACAAGTGAACTCATACTCCAGTCATGATAGAAGTGTGAACGGATTCCTGACTTCTCACTGCAGCTTGCAGACACCCACACAGCCCTGACAGGAAGTAGTTTGGTGATTTTATAATTGAAGCGGCTGAGAGAACAAATGGTTTCAGTTTTTCACTCTTTCATTTTCGCTGCAGTGCAACCACAGCACCTTGGTGTAAACCAAGACATTTGAAATGTGCTATTTGATTTGAACGTACAAAGTAAGAGGGAGAAACGAAATGAGTCAACAATAGGTGGACTTCAACTTAACTGTGGGGTGTTCTTTAAAGTACACATTCGTTTTTTTTTGTCGTTTACAGAAAAATGCTTCTGGTTTCACTTTACAGCGACCAGTCAGTCACTCAGTAGCCTACAATAAATAACATTAATCACACAAGTGTAAAACAGCATCATTTACAGGGGTACAAGAAGTATGCAGATCTTTTATTGAAGTACAAGTAGTAGTAACACACTGAGAATACTCCTACAAATACACACAATGTAATATGTTATTAGTGAAGTTTAGAGTTAGAAAGGTGGATTTTGTTCATGTTAAAGTACTTGAATCGAAGACTTTGTTGTTACCCTATTATCTTCAAAATGTAGTTTTTTCTGAACTTTTTCCTGCTTTATATTCAAAACAATATAAAGAAAGTAGAGAAGAGTACGTGGGACGCACTTTTTAATAAACAGATATATGTATTAAATATGTTTTCATGTAATGTAGCCTTATGGTTAACTAATATAACATTCAAATCTCAAGATTAATATCACAATACTAATAAAATAGAACAAATCCAGAAAGTTAAAAAATTGGAATCTAAAACAAAGCACATCAAATGGTGTAACTTTGTTCACGCAGACAGACATGAGAGTGGTTGCATTTTTCTAATCTTCATCTGTACCACGAAGCTGATAAGCACGTTTCTACAAATTGGAATCTCTTTCAAGTCTTGTTATTTTTATGGCAAGATTACTGTAAATTAGTCCAGTCAAACGTCTCTTTTTCTTAACTTCTTCTTAAGACTTTCACTTCTTCTTAAGACTTCCCTTCCTTCTCTGTCTTGAATACAATTAGAACAAGTTCAGCCGTACTAAGAAGAATGTACTTTATTTGGACATAATGTTTATTTTACATCACCAGAATAGTCAGGACAGGCCCTCCTTTTTATTTTAGTCTCTGAAAGAATAGAAACTTAGTTCAAGGGGCAGATTAGAATTTGTAAGTATTTCTCGGTGCAACTCTGCATATAAAGAGTCAAATGTTATTGTGTAGATAACATATTGAAACACACAACACCAGGTCCAGATAGGCAGGGAAAGTAGACACATGTTGTTGCTTAATCAGAACAAATAATCAAGTTAATTTGGTCAGCCATGTGACATCATTAAGTTTGTCGCTGATCACATCTCTCATGAAACTCATTTTTTAGATGAGTCATCATGATACTGCAGTTCTCACTTAAACAATCAGAATGTTTTAGAATAAGAATAAAACCAGATGAAATAATTGTGTGTGTGTGTGTGTGTTGTAGGTTATAGACACTCTGTCTATCCTCTCCCATTCGCCCATTGCTACACAAAAGAGACTTCAGTAAGTAACATCCTTCCTCTGTTACGTAATTGAAATGTTAATTCAGCTTTTTTAGTAACATCTACTTTAATCACCCCTCCCCCACTTGTTTTTAGCATTATAAGCAATACAGGTTCCATACACTGTATTGTAAGTTTGTGTATACTGTACGCAGTATAAGGACAGTTTAAGTTTTAATGAATGTATTTTTCAACTTCTTCTATCAAAACAAGACGTTTTTTTAATTACAACCCTACTCTAAAAGTATTAACTCTAAATTACCAAAATTAAATGTGCACATTAGGCCAAAAGGCTAATTTCAGAATAAATGTTTCATTATGTGTATTGATGCATTCATCTGTACTCACCTCTTTAGTGATGCTACTTGATTTACTTTATGGTCGATTAAGTTGTAAGAGTATGTCATGATTTATTAGTGGATTCATATTTTATAATAATAATCTAACTCTGCTAAACCATGGGCCAAGAAGTTTATAAGTAACGTAAAATGAAAAAGCCAAATACCTTAAAGAAATACAGTTCGTTCATTCTATCACTTCATTTTTTTGTGTTTCATTATCTCTTACACAAGCCTCCACCTCATGTTCGTGCAGGAGGAGTTAGATTGTTCCTTTGTTTGAAAACATTTAATTAAAATGCAAAATAGATCTGGAGTGTCTGATAACAGCAGAACAGACTCTTCTCTGTCAGTCAAAACTAGATTTTGTAGAAACTTTTTTAAATTTTTACCTTAACGTTAGTTACTTGACTATATTTTTTAATATATCACAGTTTACTTGGCATAGGCGCTTAAAGAAAATGGCCTCCTTTACATACATTGCAGTCTGTTTTATTGCCTACAATGTGAATTTAATAGAGACATTATTCACTTGATAAATATATCCATGTTATTGTCATTCTCAATCCACTTTCTTTCCTTTGCACCATCACCTACTCACACCATTTCCTCCAGGCCTTTCCCTCTGGGAGGATGCTCTCCTGACGATGAGATCTACAGCGGCCTGTCCGACCAGATAGAGTGAGTCTTTTACCACAATAACGTTAAAATAATAATGTATATGATGAAGAAGTACTTATACAAGCTCCTATAATATACCGTAGCGCTCATCCATAGCATTATCTCCCTTTGTTCTAAACTTGTGCAGGAGAGTAAAAACAACAGACATCGGTACATGCAGACACATACAGACCACACCAACTGCAAGAAGTACAAATAAAAAATAAACTAAAATACAAAGCCATTCCTGGCTGTGGCTGGTCTTAATAATGCATCATTAAAACATTATTTTTAGTTTTGTTCTGAACTTTAACCCAACCGAAGCCACTTTATATTCAAATGATGCTGAAGCATTTTCTATTCGAGCAGTGAAGTAAAGATTTTAAGTGTCATTTTTTTATGTAATTCAATAAATCCAATGAGTAAGAGCTGGGATTTAAACATGACCACATTTCACATTTAAATTCACATTTATCAGCCAAAATATGTGAAAAAGTACAGAATAATCACAGGATTGAAATACAAATACTGTGATGATAACAATGTTGTGTGTGTGTATCAGTGAAACAGTGGACGAGGATGATGACTTGTACGACTTTGTGGAGGACGAGGAGAACGAAGGAGATGAGATCTATGAAGACTTGATGAGGACGGAGGAACAACCAGAAATTGTGAGTAGACCTCAAAGCAAAACGATGGTTTGGGCTTTTGTTTGGCAACCTGCAAGCTTTGACTACGCTAGCAGTTCAAATATATAAAAAAAACAGTCTCTAGCAAGAAAATATCTGTCTGATTTTCTATCTTTCTACTCATGGCAGGATCCCTCAAATGTATTTTATATTATGACCTCACGATTGGTCACTACTACTACTCAGAGTTGTGCAGATCATTTGCAATGCTTCTCCATTTGCAGATAGGAACTACTTTCACAGTTTACTTCAGATACAATCAAATACATTTCAATACAATCCAGGGAATACATAATGTCTAAATGTCACCCAGCTAGTACATTCCTTAAAGCACAATCTGGATGAATGAGACGCTATGAATGCTAATGCAGAGAGTCCGGTTCAGAAATTAACCGGTCCTCAAGAGAAAAATACAATTTTTTTGAGTTTCTCGTTTGTGTCAAACATGTGCTTCAATTGGACTACGGTTTAAAATAATACACATTTTTTCCAAAAACACAATGAATGCAACCTGAAGTAGTAAAAGTGACTTGCATTACCTAACCTGTTGAAGAGCAAAAGCTAAACAATACTTCTCATCAAGAAAATAAACAAAACTGGGATTAACTGTAAGATGTAAACAAGGCTTAAGAGAGATGGCAGATACAAGATAAACAAATGTTAAAGGGGACCTATCATGCAAAATGCACTTTTTGATGTCTTTTTTACATAAATACGTGTCCCTGGTGTGTCGGGGAACTCACGCAGCGTCAGAAAATAAAACCCTCTCTCTTTTCCTCCGTACCCAAATCTCTAAAAACGGGGGTTCAACGGAGCTGATCCAGATTTGCGTCCGATATGACGTAATATCTGAAATGTGGACCCACGGCCCTATCAGAAAGCTGCTATCAGAAACAATGCCCGACTGTTTTGGACGTAATATGGTCGGTGTGTTTACATTAGCATCGCTAACACTCAGAGCTAACCTGTACTGGAGAGCATGTGTGTGAAGAAGCAGGAAATACAAAGGAACTCACCTTGTGGTATAACCGGCAAGAGAGAAAGCCTTTGAGCTCCATACTGTTTCAGAAACAATCCTTGATAATCCATGATATGGCGTTTCATCACGGCAAAATGT